GCTCAGTCATCAGACGAGGAAGAAGAGGAGGAGAAGACAGAAGAGGAGAAACAACAGGAACTGGTGTGTTTAATTTAGTTTAGTTTTTTTTCCTCTCTTCACTGCTTGATACACACTATCTCCTACACACTAACATGTAGAAATAAGTTTGGCTTACCATTTTATTTTGTTGATCATCTGCTCGTTCACAAACATTAACCCAGAGGAAAAATTATTAGCAAAGTTGTGATTAACTAAAACAATAACAAAGTATTATGGTGGATCTCCTGAAGAAATCATTTCCAATGTGGATCAAGATGTTGGATTGCATTCAGGTGTACTGCTAGTTACTTTAGGCAAACAAACGTACTGGTTATGCATCACCTTATGAGATGATTGAAAACTAACCAATCAAAGCAGAGCATCATAGGAAAAAGCCACTTAGGCATCAGAAAACTTTTGTAAACTGTAAGCATCAAGGGTGACCAGTTTGTAGTTTAGTCAATATTTTATTGTCCATTGTAATCAACTCAAAATTGCTTGTGGTTCTTTGACTTCTCAGTTGGATAGCTTCATCCTTCTTATGCTAGATTTTTTTTTTTTTTACAAAAGTTAGGCAGAACATTTCCATTAACTTGCAATTACCAAACGTCTCTATTTATGCTAGTACTGAATGAAAGAGTTTGGATGAAATGGCATATGTAACTTTTTTCCTGTTTGTTTATAGATGGTGAACATTCGTAAACTTCTAACGGAAGTCCTTTTAACGGTAACTAATGAAGAGGTGAAAAAAATTGCTCAGGAGAGTTATAATGAGGCGCTTAGAGGTAATGTGGCACTTCGATTCATAAATGTTACTTTGATAGATTTTGGGAATATTACATTATAACCTGCTGTGTTTCTAAATAATTTTGTAGGTCCAGCTCGACAGCTGCAACACTCAGGAGGCTTGGATGCTTTACGCGGAAAAGGAGGATATTTAGGTTTGTTATGCTCACACTGGTGCACTTCTGTATTAACATGGAGCACTGTGTGATGATCCACAGAAGTGCAAGTGGAACTACTTTCTTTACGATGTAGCCTTTGGTAACATTTTATTTGAGCGTTTTATGCTGCCCCTACCATGGTCACAGTCGCTTATAGCACCAAAAGCAGGCTCTTGCTGAAAAGAGCAATCAATACGTATGACTTGATCTCAAATGATTAAAAAAAATTCCCCTTTAGCTCTTTATCTTCCCATCAACATAGGGAACACTTGTTAAGGTGCACAATATTTAGTCCCGAGCGTGTCCCTTGGGTGTTGGTTTCACCACATATACCAGCAATTGGGTGGAAGCTAAGATATATATATATATATATATATATATATATATATATATATATATGCACGAACGAGACAATATCTCGCACCTAAGTAGCTTAGAGTTGTTTCAGGCAGATTAGAAGCATTGTAAAAATTTGTGTAGTAAAACCTGTGTCGCAGTATTTTACCTCAGAGGAAAATTTGATCAATCAATTACACGAATTCTTGAGGTGACTTAACATAGTGTTGCGTTTCCTCTCAGGACTTGGAGGTTACGGCTCAGATAGTGAAAGTGCATCCGAGGAAGATTCGGGCAAAGAAAAGCTATATGCTGATGACGACGAGAGAAAACACCACATCGCTGACGCGGAAGATGATGGAAAAATACGAAGAAGCCGATCGCGAAGCCATCCTAGCAGAGAAACACATCACAGGCACGAGTCTGCTTCTGAAAGCGAAGGAGAGGAAACCGACAGGAAAGAATACCGCGATGAAAAGCACAGTAAAAAGGGGAGACGACATCGGACTCCTGTCAGCTCAAACAGCGAAAGCGAGAGCTCTGTCTCGGCTCACGAAAAGAGTCGTCGGAAAAAGCATCGTCGGCGAGACAGGAGTGATACTCCATCTCCGAACCGTCAAAAAAGACATCGTCGACGTCACGGAAAGAAAAGCCGCTCACGAAGCAGATCGCCGAGGAAACAGAGCAGCAGTAAAAAGAAAAGGAAAAGTGATAGTGACTCAGCCGAGAGCGATACTGATAGCAGACATTCTAGTATTAAACATAAATCATCTAGACGTAGTAGGGAATATTCACAGAAGGACAAGAAACATCGTCGTAAACGAAGATCTTCCAGTTCGTCGCCACCGCGTAATGAAAAGGACGGTAAGAAGGAGAGAAAACGGTGATCGTGCAGTGGATCATTCAGGTGGATTTTATTTTCTGTTTCCAGTTTCTGTGAATAACTATTTCAAGTATCACTGTTCTGTCCACGCTGTGTTCTGTTACCTTGCCTGGGTTTCATAGATAGAACGCTTATATGTGTAATATGTTTTATGACATCTCTTAATTGTGGCCCAAACATTTTCAAACCGATGGTATGATTATTGTCATGCGTTTCATTGGTTGTCGTTCGTGCCAAGAATTCAAAAGCGACAAATATTCAATCAGAAAAACGCAGAGATCGTTGTGCACGAGGGTCCTGGTCATGAAATAATTTGGGGCTCACCCTTTCACGTCCCTGCAGCCGAGGAAACAGTGTTTGGGCCCTTGTGGTCCCGTCAGTTTGGTATCCGTTAGTTGTAGTGAAGTGTTGTCGTTAGTTGTGTTGCTTTTGTTGATGTATGCTCTGATCTGATCAGGTAATATCGTATACTCTCTTGCAGGCATAACACACAAAATGAAGTATTACCAGAGCAGAGAATTTTAGTTGCACTTTATTATATTGGGGATAAGGGCTTGATTCCTCCCCCTGGTGAGACTTAAAAACGTCAAATCAAAAAGGAAAACTTCAAAATCAGCTGTGTCGCTGATGAAGACGGACTATAGCGTACACTGTACCTTTTTGAAGATCAAATTAAATTTTTATGAACCTTGTTGTTGTTGTCAACTCTCACAATCTACATGACGACGTGAACCTATTTTGTTCGTATTCCCAGCATAATTTTCTGTATGTAGCAAATCAAACGTTTGTAACTCCAGGGTGTAGACTACTCTTCTGTCAACTTGTAATCCAATCTTGCCGCTAATACTGAGCAGTCCTGCGCGAAAGCTGAAGTTGATATTCATGAGTACAAGTTAGGTATGGTTGCTCAACATGTAAAATAAGTAATCTACGTCTTAGAAGGTTATTATAGGATTGTAAACATGAAGTAGACATCAGGGAAATGTTGACACGATCACAGCTTGCTCACCAAAAGTGGAATCCACTGGTGTCCAAACCAAAATTCCCGCGCTCCTGTGTTTTCGTATTCACGTTTCGTTGGGCTCTCTCGATCTTCCTTTTCGCAGAGTATTCTGAACATCAGTTAATTTTAACCTCCTTTTTGCTATTGAACGTGGCCTGGCGGATTGTTTCAGAATTCTTCTCTTTTTGCAAATCTTTTTAGTCTATTTATCTCATTCTTTTCAAATAATCCATCTTTTGGTTCGACCAAAGTGTTAAGGAAGCGTCAAACTGATCCACATTTGAGCTGAAATCTCCCAGGGGACGACAACACACACAAGCCGCAGGCGACTTCTAACATGTGGCTAGACCGCTGGTCTGCTACAATGGAATGCTTATCCGTGATCGTTAAGTCTGATCGTCCGGGTGAAGGTAATCCTGTGAAGGAGTGTTGTCGGTTATAGTGACTGACTTGTTGACAACCCGAGTAGAAGTCGTCGTCAGAGTCAGATTACACAGAATTACCAAGGACTATCCCCACTCAGACTCTCAGACCAAAACGTGTTACTCCATGGGTTCAAAACAGCTAGTTTCTTAACATGAGTCACAGCTTCCCTTTCAGCCTTGTCCTCAGTGGTAACGTGCTTAACTAATGACAATTCTCCTATGTATCAGAAGCGAAGCCGCACACCGTATTAGATGAAAGGTTTGAACAGAGATGATATCACTGATGAATTTAGTTGCGAGTCGTAGATTCTTGATAATTCCCGAAATGTCTCCTCAAAAGCAAATGAAACGATGAATTAAACTAGGGAATAATTTTCCGTGAAAGTAGCCATTCTGTCAGCATTCCAGTAAGGAAGAACGACTCAAACAAATCGCAAAATGATAATTCTCTTTCATGTACTGTCGCCGTAAAAGCATCGGTGGGTGCTGTCAAGTCATATTACATTTAATTTTTTCCACTTTGTGCAGAACCACTATAGTTAGTAGGCACTTGAGAGTTAATACAAATGTTGTAAACTTCGCAAAAACAACAACACCAAAAAACGACAGCAACACGTCACATTTACCATGTTTACTGGGAGATTGCTTAAGTTTGTTCGTGCAATTTATTAAGGCTGCTTAAGGGTGAAGTAACGATGTAAACTAAAGAGCTCAGAAGTTTGCCAACGGAATGATGAACTTTTTGTACAGTTTGTTTGTCCAGGAAAGGGTGGTTGGCGGCCGTGGTTGTTACAGGTACCCGATCACTATATCAAAAACAACTATCTCAATGTTTTGCGCGATTTTGTACAGTTTCACCGACAGTTTAGTCATTTACAATAGATATAATTTCAAAACCGTGCACGTGTACCATCCCCCTCCTCCTTTCCCCACTACCCTCGATCGGGTGCACTTGTAGAACAGGAAAGTCCAAGGAACAGATGGAACAGAATTGGAACGGATAGACTGTGTATATATCCTGCTACCAAGAACACAGAGGTCGAACTCGAAAATACGAGTTTGAAAATGTTAAAAGGGACTTCCGAACGCGTGTCCAGCGTAAAGTGAGGAAGAAGAGGTTAAATTCCTAACTGTTCCGATGCCAAAAACAGATGAAAGAAGGATTTTGGAGAAAGATTAAATCCTAGTATTATTTTATTACGAGATATCCTAATTGTTTTTAACGCGGGCGCTTCGTATTCGGTGATGAAGGCAAATGACAAAACCTTTCTTCAACCCTTGCTGGATAGTCGACAAGCGAGCACTTTGGTTGCGACGAGGTTGCGACCAATCTCGAGCCCATGGTCATGTTGGCTCTTTGTCAGCGGTATGGTTGAGCGAGATTTTTTGTAGCTTGGTTGCTAAGCAAACAAGACGCTAGATCGGTTGGGTTTTGTCATTGCTCACGGTAGGAGCCTTCTCTGTCTTTCCCAGCCGCCTACTTTCAATCTTTTTTTAAAGTAAAATGTATACTAGTAGTATGGCAAAGAAGGAACCTTACGAAAGAAATTCGTTTTATAATCTCCGACCTTTACCGTCAAGAGGAACAAGAAAGCGAAATCCCGATGAAGATTTTATACTCCGTGGTCGTCGAACTCCTGTTAGGTACACGAGCTCTTACTGACTATCAACATATGGAGTATTTTATTATTTAAAGTCTGTAAATATCTTTGGTTATCTAGTTATAGGTGTTATGTTCTTCTTGTTAGATAGGACCTACTCATGACTGGCAAGGTCCACTACTGATATCGAACTGTTTTAGTATCCAGCTATTACTGTCAAGTTGTAGTTCATCGTCCCAAAAAAATAAGCTGAGATAAAATTTAAGGTAAAATTTCCGCACAGCCCCATACTTCATTATGCATTCAGTTCTTGAATAGAGAAAACAATGACTAAAACAATACATTGCCATTGGGAAAACAGATTTGTTTTACAATAGTATGGAGCTGTGCGAAAATTTTTACCAAATTTAATATTAACAATTCAGTGACAATAAACAACATCATCATTAGGGTAGTCTACAGAAGAGTCATAGACCCCATACAAAGGCAGACCACCCCCGCCAAAAAGAAAAAAAAAAAATATATATATATATATATAATATATATTATATATTATATCCTACAAAAACGTCAAATAAGAAAAAAATAACTATCATCAAAACTGAGATAGAGTGCATGAATAAAGAATTATAGATTCACTCATATCTTGATAGCAAGAAGTCCCTGGCACCCTTATTGAAACTGGAAATGTTAGATGCCTGACATAACGATGATGGTAATTTATTCCATACATCCACAATCCTATCAAAAAAACTACTTTTAAAAGTAGCGGTTCTAGCAAAGTTCTTCTTGAGTGTAAGTTGATCCCTTCCCCTGAAGTGTTACCTATCAAAATCAGTATAAAATTGAATATATGTAGACATGTCTATACTGATGAACCTGTTAAGAACTTTATACAAGAACATCAAACTAAAACTGTCTGTCTGAGTTTTGAGATACTGAACAATTTTCAAAATACATTCTTCATCTTTGTCAGTGCATGTGATTTCAGTATATACTTGAAAACTTGCAATTAGTAAACTGAATTAAGTAATAATGAATGATGAGTTTTAAGTCTAAATTGTTTGTTTGACTGTACAGGTTGAAGCCCCAGAACTACCGAACCAACTCTGAGATGACCATATCTGCTGCAGGAGTTACACATAGAAGCATGAGAACACCCTCAAGGCAATTGGTGAATTTTCAGGAATCACAGACGTCTGATGAAGAGTTAGACCGTGAGGTTGATTTAGCTTTGGACTTGTCAGAATTTGCTGATGGACCAGAAGAAGAGCTTGCTAGGTTGAAAGATAAATCAAGTGAAAATGATACATTTTTGAACAGTACTTACAACTCAGACAATTGGTTTATAAAGCCACTTCACCGGACAACAAGTGCACCAGTTGACATTGAGGAAATTGCCAGACGACAGCCTCTTAAAGCTTCTGTGTTAAGGTCAGCTATGGAAGGAAATGTGACAAGTGTTCCCAGTGAAAAGATCAGGACAACACCAATCAATGACTTTGATTTGTCACTCTTTAGAGAAGCAGAAAATCACATGTTAAGTTCACGAACAATAAGTGCTTTAGCAACACCATATCAAGAAGAACTGGCTAGGTTAAGATTAGACAGGCTGCGTTTAGAGGAGGAAAGGCTTCTCAAAAAAAAATGTGTGGATGAACTTGAAAGAATCCGTGGACCTAAACCGAGGTGGTATGAACTCAAGACTCCTGAATTTCACTGTGAAGCAAAGAGGAACAATGATATACTATCGCTGTCAGGCCACTATGAAGATATCATGGAATACAGAAAACAGCTTTTGTCTTGTGTTGGAGAAGAAAAGGTTGCACAATAGTGGTGGTGGACTGTGAACCTTGCACATAGAAATAAGAAATGTATATTTCTCATGCAAATATCATTTGCTTTAAGATGGAAGTTTCTATCACAAACTTTTGCGTCATTATTTTTTTTACTGAACTTTCAGATCTGAATAAAATTTTTTGTTCCTAACTGATTATAAAGCTATGAGTGTTTTATATAATTATATTGGTATTGGCTTCAGTTAGTTTTGTTTAAATGAAATATGTGCCCAATTTATGTTAGGTAATGATAAAAGTGTAATCATCTTAACAGCATATTAAAAAAAATAATAATGAGTGCTTTACTTTTGTCTAAGTAGCTATCTGGACCATCTGCAAAACTAGGCCTTATGAATTTTCCATATAGTTCTATTCCATTAACTTTCTGTGGAAACATCACAATGTGAAGATTACAAAAATCACTTGCTATGTTTATCACACTGTGAAGAATAATATGTTATCACATATCATCCAAGAATCCACAACCTAATGCCATTATGCAAAATATATTGGTACGAGACTCAAATAGTGTGTGAAAATCTTGAGGGATATACCTTTTTTTAAGACAAATATATGAGAAAATTGAAGAGTGTATATGGGAAAATTCTAGAGGAGGCAAAACTTTCACAATTTTTAGTTATTCTATTTAGCTGTGTGCCGGATTCAATGCTTTCACAAATGTTTCAAAATAAAAGAACAGTTGTCTTTGAGATTTTTTTCCAAGATCAAAATAAAGTTCTGAACATGTTCATTGAGTGTTAAAGTAGGAACCTTGAGAGCAATTTCTTCTAGAAAAATCCCTAATAAGATGATCTATTTGCCGTAATATCTTATGATGTATTTTTAAGACGAATCAAAATTTGTGTTCCAGTTATGCGTTATAGATCGCAGGCTTAGTTTGACTCATAACCAGGTTCTCACGTTTTCCGACCTACGCGGCATGTTCAAATAAATAAACATGGCGTCCAACAGATCGAGTAATGAATGACCTTCATTCGGAAAAATATCACCATTTCTCGACTTGGTTGAAGCTTGATGTCACTTCTCCGGATGAATTAAAACATCGGGTAAATTTTCTCTCTAGAAAATGAGGCGGCTGTCGAAAACTTGGAAACAGAGAAGAACGTCAGAACGAAATCAACACCCTCTGAAACAAAGGGAACCTAACGGAAATGAAATCAACAACGTTAAAGACAATAACGACAACTGTAATAAGGTAAGGACGGCTTATTTCTTTACTCTAAGTGTGGATCAAATTACTGTATGAGTAAGAACGTGGAGTCACTTGCACCGTGTAGGTGTAATCTTTTATTTGTGTTGCTTTTCACATTTCCAGCATTTGGAGTTTTTGAGCAAATTATCCTGAAAGACATCAAGTAGATCCGCCATACATGTGAGATTAATCATTAAACGAATTGTTTTCAGATATTTTTGTACCAACCCTCTTGACGCAATTCTTGTAGTAACCGCTGATATTCAGCTCTAATGGAAATCATCTAAATTATGGAAGCCTTTAAAGAGGGAGTGAAAAAAAGGTGATCTATGCCTGTTCCTTCTCAATGTTGTCAGAAAGAAGTTGTACTAACAAATATAAATGTTTCACTATTTTAGGTTGATAGGTATGTGGCTTCAGCCCTATCACCATGTACTTCCTTGAACATGTCATTTGGATTTGAATTTGATGCTGCAGATTTATCACAATTTGATAAAATTGTTGAGCAACATATCCAATGTAGCCCTGTTCCTCCGTCTCCCTTCACAATCCCTTCTAAAGATACTGTGCAAGGAAAGGTTACACCACAAGGGACTATGCACTTCTCCACTCCTCAGCTGGGAAGTGGCAAAAGAAATGAATCTGATGGGAAATGGTTTGGACCTACCAGGGAGAGAATCTCTACACCAATCGAAGACTTGGAGCATATGCCACGATTTTCTTTTGCTCATTCACCTGTGTTTTCACCTGTCAGAGGTTCTTTTGATGATTTTGTAAACTGCAAAGCATCTCAAGGAAGAAAAATAAGGTTTGATTATGTTTACAGTACAGAGTACTTTATACAACCATTTTTTCACTACAAATAAAAAAAGATAGGAAAAAAACTCGCTTTAAGAAAGTGAGTATGTGGGTTAATAATTCTGTCATACAAGTGTTACCATGGACTAGGATTTACTTTTGAAATATTAGACTGGCCACCATTCTTGAAAGTGAAGCTGTTTGTTTGTCTGTTGGGTTGTTTACTTCAGCCATGTCTCAATGGGCCACTCAGAGTCTCACAGTAGGAGCATCATGGACCTTGATGTGAGTGCTTCTGCAAACCCCTTGGAGCTTTCTTCCTGGGGTCTTCCTCAAGAGATACTGAGGAGGTACAAAGAGCTTGGAATCACTCATATGTTTGAATGGCAGTCAGCATGTCTTCGCACAGGAAAGGTACTCACAGGAGGTAAGTTGGTACAACTGTAATGACTTCTTCTCCCTATGACTGACCTGTTACACAAGAAAAAATCACGTTTCATGATTATGCTCAAATTTTTTTTTGAAGGAAACTTGGTGTACTCAGCTCCGACAAGTGCTGGGAAGACAATGGTTGCAGAGCTGCTGATGTTAAAACGAGTTCTTGAGACAAAAAGGAAGGCTCTTTTCATTCTCCCATTTATTAGTGTGGCACGTGAAAAAATGTTTTACCTCCAAGTAAGTTTTCTCAAGTTGTCACCTGTTTAATCATTACCTAACAATTATTCTCTTGCAACAAGTTACAACTACGTTATCCTTGACCAATGGGATGACATGCATTTCTGTTATTATATGAAGAACCGACAAGAACTGACATAAAGCACTAAAGATGACAGTGACAAGACAGAAAAAATACTCCTCTCGTAGACAGTTTTGAAACGTGACTTTTCACTACCAGTTTCCGAACTTGAAACATGTTTTCTCCATTTCCTTTTTACTTGTTAAGCTCATGTCATTGTAAGGTCAAACATATTTTTTCTGTCAGCGTTTATACCAGGAGTCAGGGGTTCGTGTGGAGGGGTACATGGGGAGCCACGCCCCAGCTAGAGGCTTTGTCTCAGTAGACATTGCGGTATGCACGATAGAGAAGGCAAACAGTCTGTTAAACCGCTTGCTGGAGGAAAATAAAGCTCTTTCATCTCTCGGGATTGTTGTTATTGATGAGATGCATATGATCGGCGACCCTCATAGAGGATATTTACTGGAACTGTGCTTGACTAAAATACGTTACATCTCTGGATGCAGAGGACAAAATGGAGTCAACGATGAAAAGAGTAAGTGATGATTACTTGGCATTCATCTTTTTCTCCACCCGTCATATTTCACACGTTTGAGCCATAATCATGATAATGACGTCATCCATCTCTCTCAAAATTTTTAGGAGGCGAGGAAACGTTGCCACCAATACAAATAGTCGGTATGAGTGCGACTTTACCCAATTTAGACATGCTCGCCAAGTGGCTATCCGCTGACCTGTACTTCACAGACCACAGACCAGTTCCCCTGACAGAAATGGTGAAAGTAGGCCCCACACTCTATAACGCAAGCTCGACAAAGATCCGAGAAATCAGTGGGGTTACGGTCAGCGGAGATGAGGATCACGTGATACCACTGTGTAAAGAGACTATCACGGAAGGTCACTCGGTCTTAGTATTTTGCCCGACAAAGAACTGGTGTGAAAAACTGGCCGAGAATATCGCTAAGCATTTTGCAGAGATCGGAAATTTGGCTCTGAAAGAACAAAATAGCAATACCGTCCAAAGTAGTGGGTTTGTCAAAGCTTCAACGCTTTTAAAATTTGATTACACTGCACTAAAGGAGGTTGTAGAGCAGCTGAAACGCACACAAGTAGGGCTGGACTCGGTGCTCTCTCGTATAGTGCCTCATGCAGTAGCATTTCATCATGCAGGGCTCACATTTGACGAGAGGGACATTATTGAGGGGGCCTTTAGGCAGGGTTCCATTCGCGTACTTGTGGCCACGTCCACATTGTCTTCAGGTAGGTCGAAGTTTAAAGGGGGCGAGTTCATAGAGAAACTGTGGTATTGCGTTGGTGGGGGGAAGGGGAGGGTAGTGCAAGACAATATGGTTTCACAAAACGGGTTGATAACGCGAAATTCCCACCGTAGAGAGATTCCGAAGCTGATGGTTCGAGCGTTGCGCTCTGACGAAGGGCTAACGCTCTGACGAAGGGCTAACGCTCTGACGAAGGGCTAACGCTCTGACGAAGGGCTAACGCTCCAAATGTCAGCTTTAGAATCTCGCTCGATGGCCAATTCACATTATCAACTTACTTGATAAAACCAAAATATTTAAGTTGAAGTATGTTTGTTATCGCGCAAAGAGTATTTTTTTGCACAAATTATCAAGATTTTTTTTTGCATTCCGACGCAATTTTTCATTTAGAAATTATCAACAATTTTAGTCAATAAGCGGTGGAAGATGTCTTGCGGAGTAGGCTGTGCTACATATTGTTAGATGAGTGACAAATCTAATGTATGACTCTGCTATTTCAAAGATCTGCTAAACAGGTTTTTAATATGTAATAATTACTAGGCGTGAATCTTCCTGCCCGTCGTGTAATCATTCGTACCCCAATGTTTCATGGGAAGTTGGTGGATGCACTGGTCTACAAACAGATGGCTGGCCGCGCAGGTCGCAAAGGGGTCGATGCCTTGGGCGAGAGTATTCTGATTTGTAAACCCAGTGAACGACAAAAAGGTTCTTCGCTTCTGAACTCTCGACTGAAAGCTGTGGAGAGCTGCTTGCTTGGTATGTACACTATTTGATAATTCTTCCTAACTCTGTTGAGTAAAAACTCTTCTTAACTGAGTTTTTTCTGCACGAGTGTCTATACATCTTAATCAGATCAACTACTTGTTCCAGAATACTCTACCGGAGTTTGTAAAGGCTCTTGAGATTCGTTTCTCCCATAGAGTGAACGCGATGAGTTTGCAGGTTCTATGAAAAGAACTTGGTAAATGTCTCGCTGCGGAGAGGGAAGAATGTTTTTAAGCCCATATAGATTCTAATGTCAGGTTGCAGTTCACCTGCGAGGATCATGGCTTCATCTAATTTTCAATCCGCAAGTCAAAGGAAATTTGAAAGTTAACTGAAAGTTGAGTTAAATTAAAGTTAGGTTTGTCGTGCTCTTTGCTGAAGCGTTAAGTAGCCCTTGGAGCAACCAGTTGTCGCGTTGAATACTGTACATCAATTCTCCGTAAACTCGAGTTTTCTTCAAGATTAGGTTTTTCATTTTCTTTCAGGTCAAGGAGACAATAGTGGAATGAAACGTGCGCTACTTGAGGTCATCGCTAGTGGAGTGGCTACAAGGCCTTCGGATGTAGAACGTTACGCGGCCTGTACATTCTTTGCCTCAGTTTCCTCGCAACAAGAAGCAAACGATACAGACACAATTATCAAGAACACCGTGAAGTTTTTGGTAGAAAACGAATTTGTTCGTTTGCAAAGATGTGACGATAAGAAGAGAAATGAAAACAAAGAGAACGACACTGGGGCAGAGGAAGTAAGTTGGAAGAGAAATATTGTAAATAAAGACTTTTCTACTCGACCTTATTTTAGAGTAAATTTCTCCTTGAATAACTAGAAAATGTCTCTTCATAAAAACAGGTTGGATCTTAACTAGCTGGTACAGACAAACGTGAGAGAATTTTAAGAGTTCCACTGATATCAGATTTTTGTATTCTAGATACAGACAGACGGATTGAAATACGTACCAACTCAACTTGGCGTGGCTACATTATCTTCTGCTCTCTCTCCTGACGAGGCACTTGTTGTATTTGCTGAAGTACAGAAAGCACGAAAGTGTTTTGTGCTCGAAAGTGAACTTCACGTGATATACCAGGCGAGTAACAGCTGAAGACTTGATTACATGGGCGTTTGTATCAGCAGTCTCTCGATCGACCAATTTCTCATGACTAAAGCACTAAATTTTTTATGAGCATTCTGGTTAGTTGGCGCTTGAGTACACTGCTAAATCACCACAAACATTTCCTGATTGAATTCCTTCGCCCTCGCTTTCCATCCGAATCATTCTGTATGTTTCCTCTTTGAAGATCTATCTATTTCTCAAGGTTGGCAGATTTCAATGTAAAACGTACATGTTACTTGCTGGGATCTTACGACCTTAAAGTGCGACCTTAGGTGTTTAACTTAATCCTTTCAGTTGTCATGCTAGGCAATACAGAAATGCCTGACAATTATGTCCCAATATATGTCCGTCATAATGGTCCAGTGTTGGTCACTATAATGCGTCAACACTTGTTGATTTACAATACGTTTTGATGACAGGTGACTCCAATCTACATACAAGATCAGTGGCCCAGCATAGACTGGTACCAGTACCTAAGAATCTTTGAGCGCCTTCCTGCGAGCGTGCGCCGCGTGGCAGAGCTGGTGGGAATTGAGGAAGGTTTCCTTGCCTGTGCAGTGCGCGGCCGTACTCCAACACGTACGGAGCAGCAGCAGCGATCTCTCGCCGTGCATCGTAGATTCTTTGCTTCATTGGCACTTCAAGACCTCGTACATGAGGTACCCCTCAATGCTGTTGCCAGGCGGTACGGAGCAAATCGAGGCATGCTGCAGTCATTGCAAGGTTCTGCCGCAACGTTCGCGGGAATGGTTACAGTGTTTTGCGAGAAGCTCGGCTGGACTAACATTGCGCTTCTTTTGTCTCAATTCCAAAGCCGTCTGTCTTTTGGTGTTGAAAGAGAGCTCTGCGACTTGGTTCGAATATCCCTCTTAAATGCTGCGCGTGCACGTATGTTGTATAACGCTGGCTACCATACTGTCGCTTCCGTTGCAACAGCCCCTCCATCAGAAATTGAGAACATATTACATAATGCTGCGCCATTCGTCAGTAGCCGTAGGCGAGGGGAGGAGACTGAAACCGAGGTACGCGAGCGTAGTGAGGCGCGCGTGTTTTGGGTTGCAGGAAGACGAGGGCTCACTGAAGGAGCGGCAGCAAATCTCATCGTAAGTGAAGCCCAAAAGCTGTTGCAATCTGATGTGGCACAACTTGGAATTCATTGGAAGCCTCCTGAGGCTACAGATAACCTTGTCGAACGTGTCTATCAGAGGGAAGTAAATGTCTCTGGGTCGAAAGAAGTTTGTCCAAAGTTTGCTGGGGTGAAATCGGGCAGTGTCCCACAGAGTAAATCTCGTACCAAAAAATTGGACTCGACAAGACCAGTTATAGAGCAAATTCCAAAGATTAATGATGCTGTTCTTCGTGTTAATTCAAGCGATAGACCTCAACAACGTGCTTACGACGAGACAGTGGAAAGTAATCAGGTCAGGTTGAATTGTCAGGAAAGTGGACCAAGGTCAAGTAAAGATGAAGTAGCCAATAAAGTGTTCGTAGATTTTTTAAAGCCAGCACGTTTCGTTAATATAGGACCCTTAAAGATCCATGGAAAAGGCCGCATTGACTCAGAAAAGACCGAAAATACTAGCTCTCTTGTTCATGCTTGTTCAGAAGTGTTAGCCTCCTCAAAGGATCCTGAACCTGTTGTGGCTGTCTCTTGCACTTCCACCTCCAAGACTCCTTTATGTGGCGGTGGAACAGTTCTTCCTCGTCTTAGGAGCAAACGCCGTTCACCGATCCCTGAAATTCCTGAGCCACAAGAAAAGTTACAGAAAAAAGAAACAACAGTTACGAAGATTCCAAAAGTCATTTTAACGGAAGGGATTCACACAGAACAGTCAAGAAAAGCCTTCTCTGCTTTGGAAGTTTCCGGTGATTGTAAAGTTTGCAGTGACGATAAGTCGGTTTCATTAGAGCTGTACTCTGAGCCATTAGAGGGAGAAGAACCGGCCGTAAAACAGAACCCCGGCAATGCTCCTAACAGTGACACTGATATTGTGTCAGATTCTCAGGCTTTAACATGTAGTTTGAGTGACACCTGTCTTATGGAGTGTGACGCCATGGTTGAAGAAAGATCTGTAAAGTCATACCCACTTGACATGAAGTTGTCACAAGATTTAATTCCTGCGAAGAGAGAATGTGAAGTTGTTCGTGATGAGATTTCCAATGCTCTGACAGATCAGACCGACAGTTTGGCTGAGCTTAAGAGTCAAGATGTTATTGGTGAATATGACATCCCATTGCGTCATTCGTTATCGGGAGAATTTGATGCCGAACGAAGCCCGGAGATGTTGTCATCATTAGCTTCTCGAGCTCTTAAGTCACCCGAATGCTCAGTAGCAGATGCTAGAAGTTCAACTGGCGCCGCAAGTTCATTTTCACTTCGTCTGTCGGCCAGTGACGGTTGCCTGGATTCTGATCTGTCTACTTTGGCTATTGCAGAGTTAATGGCGAAAGAAGCTGAGGGGAAAGAACTTCGGAAACATGCGAAAACCTGCGCCTTGCAGCACTTGCCTCAGGTACAACAGAATGGGTCTTATTTTACTGAAATCAAGAATTCTGAATGTACTGATTCATCCTTCGGTGGCGATCAAAAGTCGCCTGCTAAGAAGATTTCACCGTATGAACTGTTAGCTGCTGGTGAAACTGAAGGAAATGAGACAGCAGATTACGAAGTCATTCCTTCTACACCTCCAAGGGAGCAAATGCCATCCCAGGATAATTTTAAAACAAAAACCTCTGCAACTCCATTGTCAACACGAAAGCGTCCATCCCCACGAAGAACACCGTATTCCTCTACCCCAGATGAAGGACTTGTTATTATTGACGTCACGGGACATGAGCAAGTGTTTGCTATGTTTCTGAAAGAATGGCGCAGTCAAACTCGTTTTTCGTTGGCTGTGGCTTGTGAACGCTCCTTAGATAAAAATCCTAAGATAGGAGCACGATTCAGCAACGCCCAAACGTCAAGAGGCCTTATAATTGAAGGAGAGGACAAGAGCGTGGTCGGAGTTGCAGTGAGCTGGGGCGATAAAGATGCTTATTACATTTCATTTCTGGAACATGCTCAGTCGTCGCGCAATCGAGTGGATGACAGTCAGGCCGAGTCAGCGGTGGATTATAACCTCACGCTTTCTCGTCGTGTAAATGAAGTAAAGAGTACCATTAAGTTACTGACAGAAAGAGGAAGCAGCATGGTATGCTTCAATGTCAAGGAACACTTTAAGGTGAGAATGGATATTTAATGTAAGAATACTAGTTTTACAGTGACTACTGTATTGCCTCTTCAGTTGATGGATCGTTTTGCTGCAGATATTTGCTCAGTCTACTGGCATCTCTCTCAGTGGACCAGCAGACGATCCAAAGGTGGCGAGTTGGCTTTTGGATCCTGGAGCCAAGGAAAAGAACCTTCACCAGCTTGTGGGACAGCACTTACCGGAAGAAGCTTCCTTACTCGAAGGTTATATTACGTTTCTTTTCGCTTCCAGCCCTGCATAGTCTCCTTTACCGCCGTTATTTGCTCTTGTCCAACAGTACGCTCTCTCCACTACAAGTGTTGCGTGATGAGACCAAGTAACGGCTGCGAAGGAGACTAATATCCACAAGAAAATGAAAAACTTCGTTAGATCAAGAATTCAAGGTTTTTTTTAGTACATTTTGAGTCTTCTAATACCATTCTAACTTGATGCGAAAGAGGGCATTTCTTCGCTAATTTGTTGACCACATATGACTACACGGGAATAATTTTACTTTCAGGTACCGGAGGTGGACTGGGTACAGGAGGTCTGGCTTTAGCATATCAATGTCAGCAGAGCGGTAGAGTGAGAGCCTGCGTCGAGACTGTTTTAGTTCTTTCATTGATGGCAAAGCTGAGAACCTTGCTGGAGTCTGAAGACCTCGTGCAAGCTTTCACCAAGGTTTGCTTTACTGAAACTACTTGAAATTTTAAAATTAACTTCGGAATTCTAAGCCTTCGCTTGTGAGTTTGACATTCACTTCGGGAGAAGCTATGAGGTTGATTGCAAAGATGAAGAGAATACCATCTCGTAACATGCAAAGTAGGCGGCGCTTAAAGAGGCCCGAAGCTGTGCGCGCTTTTTTGGCTGACTTGGACTATCACAGAAGTGCAGAAAATCCGCGTGTAATGTCAACACATAGGTAGAGTGAAGGTAGAGTATATACATACATATATATATATATACATATATAAATATATATTATGAGAGGAAAAAAAGACGCAACTACATTTCCCGACAAGCCTGTTTCGTGAATCGCTTCACTCTCACAGAGTGAAGCGATTCACGAAACAGGCTTGTCGGGAAATGTAGTTGCGTCCTTTTTTCCTCTCATAATATTTATTCTGCTCTGCTTTAACGTATTGAGCACTGTTCCACGCGAAAATCGACTTGCAGACTTCCTATATAAATATATATATATATATATATATATATTAGTGAAAGAATCAAAGAGGACGCATCGATTATCTGTTACTCTGAGTTTCGCGCCTAAACGCTGGTCAGACAGAACTAGAAAGTTCTGTTCCTCTTTGATTCTTTCACTTATAAATACTCAGCTCTGCTACCACAGCATTGACCAAGGTAGACTTATATATATGTACATATATGTGTTATTTTTTATGTATTTTTAGATAAATTTATTCATATTATAGTCTATTAATGTTATTTATGTTATATTAGTATTGTGGTAACACGACCCCACAAGCCTCTGGCTTTAAATATTTATCGTGTTAAAATAGTTTATAAATAAGTTTTATCTATCTATCTATCTACATCACAAGTTCTCCTCCTTCAAGTTTTAACATTCCCCGCTCAATTTGGGAGAAATTTTATCCTATGGGAAACGTTTGATGTGAAATGTTTTAACCATTGTAGGTAGAGATGCCATCCGTATTGTGTTTGGCGCGTATGGAGTTAAATGGTTTGGGATTCTCTGATACCGAAAGTGAACATCTGAAGAACATTCTACAAGCCAAGCTTCGTACTCTGGAGGAAGAAGCCTACCGACTGGCCAATCACAGCTTCTCACTGACCAGTCGTGAAGATGTAGCGCAGGTGTGACACATGTAAATCATCTTTTTAAATGAAATGAATTTAGGTATCTTAAAGTTTGGTTGATCAATTTGATAATGGCGTTAATGACTTCTTATAATCTCTCGTCTCCCCTAAGTGCATCGAGAAGATAGCTTAGGTGACTTATGGATCCTTATTCTCCTTCGTTCAACTTTTTAAACCATATTTTTACACAGGGAAAAATTAGTTTGCTTTGATCATGCTGTAATGCCCAATTTGTTAAGCAATTTATTCTAGATTGCATTCCACCTGACTATTGCAGAATTCGTCTTGTAAAGTAAATTTGTCGGAATTATCTTGGCTAAATTGTTTTACTATGTAGTGTTTGGCAGTCCAGTAATAATTCTCTGCACTGAAAAAACCGTTTTTCGCACATCCCTTCCCTTTCCTCCCATTTAGGTCCTTTTTGTGGAGCTCAAGCTTCCTCATGACGGAAACTCTGAAGATGGCCAGGTCACCAAGCGTAAGACTTTGGGAGTGACCCGACGTGGAAGGTCACGTGGTAGCAAACATCTTAGCACTAATAAAGACGTGTTAGAAAGACTCAAACCACTGCATCCGCTACCAGGACTTATCACAGAATGGCGCAGGATAAACGCGGCCCTAACTAAGGTTATTTTTCCATTGCAAAAGGAGAAATGCTTGCATACGAGGCTTAAAATGTCACGAATTTACTCAATTAGTCAAACATATACTGCAACTGGGCGAGTTTCTTTTGTGGAACCAAATTTGCAAAATGTCCCAAAAGATTTTGATGTCGTATTGCCGACATCCATTGCCGAGAGTCCTCCTCCTGGAGCCGGGTACCAAAGGAATTCTTCCCCTCGAGCCAAAAGAGGAGTGAGTCGACGCAATGCGATGAATGTTAAGCTTGGAACCGAATTAACTACTCCTAAGTTCTCAGTGAGCATGCGAAATGCCTTTATACCCTTTGAAAGTGGCCATCTTTTTGCCGCTGACTATTCTCAGCTGGAGCTGAGGCTTATAGCTCACCTCTCTAAGGACAGTCGACTCATCAAAATTCTAAATGGAGGAGGAGACGTGTTCAGAATGATCGCGGGTGAACTTTATCAAGTTCCAGCGGAATCTATCAAAGATGAACAGCGGCAACACGCCAAACAGGTATGTTATGGCATCATTTATGGCATCGGCGCCAAAGCCCTCGGAGAACAGCTTGGTTTTACTGACGAAGAAGCTGCTTTGTTCATCGACAAGTTTACTTCTCGTTACATTGGAGTGAAAAAGTATTTGAAAGATACGGTAGAGCAGTGCAAAAAGCAAGGCTTTGTGAAAACAGTAACAGGAAGGAAACGGTTTCTTTCGGCGATAAACTCACCAAACGTGCATGCGCAGAGCCAAGCAGCTAGACAAGCTGTAAACACCACGGTACAAGGTTCAGCGTCAGACTTGGTAAAGATAGCCATGATCAATATTGATAAGAAGTTGACCGAGGAATTTCCGTCATGTGTCATGACGCACAGACACTCCCTTCCGGATTTTCATCCTAGAAAAAACCAGGGAAGGCGTTCAAGGTGTGATTTGCCAACACCTATTGGTGGATATTTTGTTTTGCAACTTCACGATGAACTGATATTTGAGGTGTCACAGAGTGATTTAAGAAAAGTGGCACAAATTGTTAAAACAGAAATGGAGAGCGCTATGAGGCTTTCTGTTATTCTGCCTGTTAAGATGAAGGCGGGTCCTTCTTGGGGAAACATGGCGGAGTTTGAATTGTAACTTGTAAAAATTTCACAACGTCATAAGAGTTCAAAATGAGAATTGTGACACCAAATTTTTGTAAGTTGCAAACATATTTGTTTTCCAGTAATTGAGCGAAATATGAATTTATTTTACCCCTGATGGGGCGGACAGATGAAAATAGATTAAGAATTTTAACTTATTTCCACGTTGACTGAAACAGAAAGTCGCACAAAGACTCGTTGGACAGGTAATTTTCCTTGAAACTCAGTGTATTACGCTCTTTAAGGATTTCTTTGCTTTCGCGCAAATTGTGTGATGAATTCATTACACACGGTGAAATATTTAGCGGAAACATCAACAAATAGTAAACAGCTTTTTATCATATTTATTGGGGTGTTTTTCGATTGACCCGGAGGCGACTTTAATTTCTTATTCAATGAAAGTGAAAATTATTCATTGTTCCTGATAAAAGAATGCCCTAACCGTGCTTCATAGCGGGTAACTTCTCTTTGCTACATGGCTGGACGACAGTCTCTGGAGTTCAAACATATTAGTTGGCATGCGATGTTTTCAAAGCTTATTTTAACGTTGGTTGGTTTGAGTCAACTTTTACCGCGTTAGCGTAACCTTCTAAACCAACGCGTTACAGAACGACCTGCTAGAGGAGTTATAGGTTCCTTCATTATGGCTTGTAGAAAGGCTTTCAAACGGCCGCATCAATCCTGTGACATTCTTATTACCAACTTTTGGTCTACTTTGATCTCCGTTTTTGCCCTAAAATTGCTGACGTACCATCCCTCTTGTCTCCAGTAGAACGCGGAGATTAATGCGATGGTCATCTTTAACTCTTTATATTTTGAAATTAAGGAACAAGTAGCCCTCTTTAAATTGCATGATACTACAAATTTGCATTTCTTGACAGTTCAATGTGTTCGCTGCGGGTGATCGTGTTGACTGTCCGTGATGAACTAGCGTGAGAACTTCCAAACTTTTGGTTCTGCAATCTCGATTTTTCTTGGCATCTGTTCCAAAGTACCTCTAACGTTCTTCTAATGTCGCGGTTGAAGATGGAATAAATGATTGGATTTAAAACTGGCGATAAAGACATCAGGCCAAATGTAATCAGATCGTATTCTTCGTAAGACGTAGAAAACTGAGAACTTCTTGCAATCAAGTAGGTTCCTCGTGGCAACCAACAACACGCGAAACAGATTGTAACACCGAGGCAGGACCTTATTGCTTTGCTAAACTTTAATCGTTGATTTCTCGAGGCATGGACGTTTAATTTCCGCACTCGGTTTTCCTGCATTGTGGCCGCGCAAGAAATTCGAACATAAGCAAAAACAACTCCTCCAGTTGCTGTTAGTAAGAAAGAAAAAAGAAATGCATTAAAAGTGCCGTTCAAGGGCTGAAAGGAGATTTCTGGTGACAGCATCCAAATTAGCTTTAGAAAGTTCATTCCTGGTAGAATCCAAACTAAAAACAGAACTTTGCACACTTTTGTGACGCCCATTTTAATGCAGTATGTTAGTGGATGGAGAATTGCTTGATATCTGTCGTAGGTTAGGGCGCAAATGCTGAGGAAAGATAAGCTCAATACATAATCTACGGCCGTGACAACTGCTGTAAGCCACTGAGGTACGGGTGACACTCCAAAGTACAACATCTTCCATGGTATCGCCACAAAGCCGACCAAAATATCTGCAACGGCCAAGTTGACAAAGAACAAGTTGCTGATGTTGTGAAGTCGCTTTTGCGTCCAAAGCAAAGTGCAAATTGCAGTGTTCAAAATAGCAATGATTAAGCTCATTGAACCAAACCAGCAGAAGATAAAAACTGTTTGCCAAGAGGTGCCATTTATATTGCCCAAGGTTTCGTTCATTTTTTAACGAAGTGGAAGAAAATTAGTTTTTTCATCGATCGACGTAGTTCGTCAAATTCAGTTTTTTTTTCTTAAACGCACGTTATCTCTCTGGTTCGGACTTCAGTGTGTGCAACAAACCAGTGATTTCCCGTTATAAGCTCAAAGGAGAGAAAATATGGCAGCTATCTAGTTATTACATGCGTTTTTCGCCATACCCCGATGCATATATTACCGCACATGTGAATTTCGCACCTGTCGTGATCAAGAACATTTCAGACTTGGGTTGATTTTCACGTTCCTCCAGGGCATCAGAAGGAAATATTGTGATTATCAAAGTGCAAGAAAAAAAACCCTTGGCTCCCAAACTGATATCATAAAAGGAAAACTCCTCCTTAGTTACCATGATGTTCAGTGATGATTTTCTTTTTCGATATTTCGCAAAAAGGATCAATTAACACGTTTTTTTCTCATCCAATAACAGCTTTCCGTAGTAAAATTAAAGACATAAAGGATACCACAATGAAAGCTACCTTAAATGGCATGGCAGCTGTCCTTCAAACTAATTGATAATCAGGTAAACTTTCTCAATTCATGGAATTCAAAGTAAACACACTCTGATAGTTTGAATTTGCAAAATGTGTAATGAAATTCTGTCGGTGACTCACTCATCAGCTCTCTTATACCAAAATTGTATATAGGATCTTTGGTTTTATCGGATACTTTTGTGAAGCTTGACTCAGATTATGAACACCAAAATATGTGCTGCTAGTACTCAATTATGTTATAAATTGCTTCAAGGTAAAGTATCTTCCAGCTGCCTTAAGAATTTATTTTTCTTGACGACGTGCGAATATTGCACCGGAAAGTTATTTTTCCTTGTGTGTTTTTATCCTAACGACTTTGAAAGGGATGGAAGTCGATAGGCTTCATACTTATTTAATTAACGTTTGACTGTTGTGCAGTTCTTTTTATCATTCGAGTAGAAAGGTTCGCAATGATTGCAAACAACGTGGATGTGAAAGTTTCGTAATTTTTTAAAATAAATTGACGTAGTCTGTAAAAAGTAAACAATTTCTAACTGACTTTTTTAATTTTCTGTTTCCATGAAAACAAAAACGTGACCCGGAAAAAATTATATCACGCATTACCCTTCTTACTTCAATCTTCTCTTTTCATGCGAAATGAAAAAATGAACAAAAAGAGGTTTTTAGGTTATTGCGAGTTTTAATTGGAAACGACAACCAATTTCTAGCGCAATGAACAAAATCGCTGTTTGGGAGGCAAGTAACAATGAAAGATGACTGGGGCCTGAGGAATTGGGGCAAAGTAAGATCTCTTTCTTATGACTGAATTGGGGAGCAGGGCGGGAGGGGAGGGAGGGGAGGGGATCGAAACTAGAGTTCTTCGATTTTGCCGATCCTGCAGACTGTTCTAAATCGACTTGCATTACGCACTCCCAGTCTTCAAGTCTTCATGACAGAAACCATACCGTCTATTTGGTTGATTTTAAAGTAACACTATTTCTCTAAGCTTCACTTGTATCCGGAATGCTGAATGTCCTTACGTCACATATACTTCCGGTTTCCTACTCCATCAGTGACGTTTCAGTTAAACTTCAGCATGAGTAGGTCTATCAACTTGGGACAGTCGACGTGTTCTTAGCCATCTCCTCTTAGTTGGTTCAAAGTGATAAAGAGGGGGAAAAGTTACTATCTCCTTGGACGTTAGTCTACGAACTCGAGCTCGTGGAGGAGAAATTCAATGTTAAATCACATAACCACCTACTGTCAAGAACCCGTTCTGTAAAATGTAATCTAGCGTCTAATACTAATTGAACCAACAGTAATAAAAATAACCATGATAATGATAATAACAATGAAACTCATGATAATGACGATGATAATGGCCATAGAATCCATCTACTGTCTTCACGCAATACTTTTGGCTCCCAGCAGTTAAGCCAAATACATTGTATGAATAATGTACCAAATTGATTTTCCTACAGTTACGTTTTCCAATAACTTGTGTAACGTACTGACTTCGTGATCGTCAAGCCCTCGTATGCCGGTTGCATTATCATTGACGACAACACAATATATTTATCTGCCTCAATCACCCCATGAGTAATTGGATAATTCCGACTCGTGTAAGTCTTTCGTGTCATAGGATATCCAATAAATTTTTGGTCATTGTTGCAGTCAGTTACGGGACGAAAATGTCGCACGAAATGTGGATATGGCCACCTAAAAATTGAGAATACCAAAAGAAAATAGTTGTAAACTAACAGAAACAAATTTCTCGGAAGTGGAGCTGCCGAACTTCCATGATATCGAGTAGGACTATGTCGTTTTAAATACAAAAAAGATAATATCGTATCCATGAAGCTCTGGTACATTGTACGTGATTTTAGTCACAGTTGTGCACACTTGTGACGTCATGCAATGTCATGAGAACGAGGCGATGCATCCCACTTCAATCATTTACAGACATTATATCTCGATTGTAGACGGTTATATCAACGAAAAATTACCTTAGTTTGTTACGAATTATGATTTCAAGAGGTTTAGGTTCATTTTCCTCTTTACTCCGAGGAGTGGCATCTCGAGTTGCTGCAGCCCCAGCGCGAAGTCATTACGCGACGAATGCGAGGCCACGAACGTTTGGTCGTGTTTCTTGTCATGTGGAAAAGCGAATGAGCAGTTCGTCATCAGGTAAAAGTGAGGTAGATCATGCTTAAAGAATATGAACAAAAATGGAATCAAGGAGGCAACCTCGTTCAGCTTTTGCTGTTTAATATGTTCGTGACTACTGCTAAAGACTACACTGATACTTGTCAATCAATATGTAGAGTTAAATTAAACTTAACATGCTACTGAATGAAATTTCAGCGATGACAAATTTTTTGGGACTCAAGAAAACACCTGTCTGCATACCCTAGGCAAGTACATTTCTCTTTCTGGTGGGCCAATTTTTTTTCCTCAGTAAGTTTCTTCTCATATTAGACACATTCCACGAGGCCAATTGGATAGCAGGTTTTCTCTGAGTCACCATTCTTTTTGTATTGGTTGATTTCTGGCAGTAATGTTAAGAGAACACAAAACCTTTGTTTCCCAGACCTGTTGCTTAGTTTTGGTTTTGATTGGGTGACAACTCACTACCACCCTACCTTTAAGAAACAAAAACAAATTTTGTTATTGATTATGTTACAGAGAGTGGCATACCCATGATGCATCATGTATCAGCTTTTGACAGATTGACTTTGATTGCCACAAGAACCATGAAACCACCAATACCAGCTGAAGTAACGTGAGTAAATGATTTTGTGAACCCCCTCTTCTACCTGTTAGGTATTGGTTGTCTTTGTGTTTGACTCATCATGAAATACTCCTGAGCAATTATCTTTTGAAATCATTGGCTTTTCCTGTGCACTAATCACTGGCCCCTATATAGTTCTGGAAATATGATGCTGTAAACTCGAAATTTTTGCTTTTTAAAGAGCAACAAACAGGGAAGTGAACTTCTCTTGGTGGTTTATTTTGGCTTTGTATTGGTTGTCTCTGTTTGACTCATCATGAAATATTCTTGAGCAAAGATCTTATGAAATCAATGGCTTTTTCTGTGCACTAATCACTGGGCACTTTTCAGTTCTTGAAGTGTGACTCTGCACACTTGAAAATTTTGCTTTTATAAGAGCAATAAATTGATAAACAAACTTCTTTTATTGGTTTATTTTGGCTCTGAATTTATAATTTCTCACCTTAATTGTTTTGTTTTTTTTTAACTCTAAATTTAGGTTTTGGGAATAGAAAAAAATAAGGTGCTTGTAATACTTGTAGTTTAGATGTAAAATTTAGTCGAAATAATTGGTAAATTTTATAATACCTTTAAAAGATAGTTTTGTCTCCTAAAAATGTACAGGGGGTTTCTTGCAGAATTCAGTGTTTAAAATGAAAATTTATATATACTTGCTGAATTAAAACTTTATACCTACAGCAGATAGATAGATTGGAGATAGCTTTGGTTGTATTTTACATCCTATACTGACTTAATCCACATGGGAGGATAAAAGCATGATAGTTTGATTTATTACACAAAAACTTTCCTTAAATATGTAAGAAATCCGCTTAAAACTATTGACCAATTTTTCTACCAGGAGTTACTAAGAGGCAATTTTTCCTTGCTCTAGCAATAACTGTCAAATAAGCAGAAAAGGAGAATTAAATAAAATGTCAAGTGGGGCTCTCTATTGGTTTAAAGGACAAATTTTCAGAGCTAAGACTGTAAGAAATGTTTGATAAACTGTAAGGAAAGTTGAGAATAAGAAAATGCTTGTGTTGATCAATATATCTTAGAGACCTGTGGTTATGGAGAATCCTCTGATTTAATCTTTGTTAAGTGTTGACTTGTACAGTGTTCTCCCTTATTTTGAGCATGACAGGTGAAATAAATTTTCAAACTGGTAAAGCAATCCTTTTACAAGTTGAGTTTTCAAGAATTCCAATCAATTGTTAATGGTAATAAGAGGTACTACAGGCAATAAATGTTACCGGTTACTGCCTGAAAAGGAGAACACTGCTTGTAGCCTTGACTTGTTTTAATTTAAAAATATGTTTAATGTCTGCATTGGTTGCTTAATCTGATGAGGATGGCAAGAATATTTTATAATGTTAAGAGACTTGAACTGATTATAATGCTGTCATAATCAATGGATACTGAACACCTTGTATGTGCTACCTGCTATCCTGTATCAAATGTATCACTCACTCTCTTCTTCATATGAACACACCAGATCACCACTTAAGAAGTGAGTGGAATTAATAAGTCTTATTATCCTTGGTAATCTAAGGGTACACCATACCACTCTTTTTAACAATTGTGAGAGGAGTTTATGGTCAGCTGGTGATTATTCCTTTGTTACATATTTTTTAGTGCAGCCACCATGGAAAGAGCAAATAGTAGACGACGCATTGGAGTGAATGGAATCATGATTATTCTGACTCTTACAGCATGTATTTACATCATAAAAAGTTCTCAGAAGGGTAGAGAGGAGCAAACATTGGTATCATTACATGAAGTGAACGTGCAAAGATATGAGAAGCTCAGACAAGAAGATGCAGAGGGAGCTGCTGCAAAGGCTAACAATGGAAAATAGAGGGAGTGTAACTTAGTGCTTTTCTTTCCTAAAACTCAAACCTGACTAAGTTTTAATACAGTTTTGTCTGTCATTAGTGTTGGTGTGCATAATATGTCGCCTCCTGTTTCAGTGGATTGCATGATCTGTAGTGAAAATTTATTAATGATTTTGCAATGTAGAGATTTAAGTGCATATAATTTTTTTCAAATTGTTATGCTAATTAACAACTATTCACTGAAGTGGAGGTGGCAATTTACCAAGCTGTGAAGCGGTGAGGTAAATATTCACTTCTACCCATCAGCACTGAGGTGAATAGTTGATTTAGTATATACTAAATCAGTGAGCTAATGTTGTACAAAAAGATGATTTTAACTCATTTATTCTTGCAATGGTTACAATATTTTTGGGTGAAAATCCTGTGCACACTGCTTGGAGGTGAATAGCAAAGGATATTTATAGTTTGAGTTACAAATCAGAGCCCACCTTCAGGGCTATCCACTGTTTTAGTATATTCCAAAGAAGCCTATCAGGTGAAGTGATTGCTACTCACGTTTTTTTCCTTGAAAAGGCGATGGAGGTAAAGTTGATAAATGCAGCCATTGGGGTGAAATCACTTTAATAGACTTGTTTCATGCAGAATAACTTATGGGTCTTTTCAGCAAAGCTCAAGAATACAAACTGCAATTAAATACTATCTTAATAATACTTATTATGATCCATGAAATATTTTTGATTGCTCTAAATGAAGCACGTGACCGAATATCCCCCCCCCCCCGCTAAAACTGGGTAATATCACCCAAGCGATATTCCCTAGTTTTCAAACCTTACGTCCACTTCGATAAGTCTTTATATTAAACGTGAAGATGAGAGAGGGTTTTTCGGTTCTTACAGAATAAGGGAAATCCTTTTTTGTTCATTAAGTCGTACCAGAGAATCTTCTAAAGAAAACTTCCCACGATGCATACCATAAGCCGTTCGTAAAGATTTTTTCATGCGCGTTGCGAAATATTTGAAGGATAATAAAATAAAATAGCCTCTAGTTTTCGCGAAAATATTAACAGATATTTGTCCTTGGACATTATCTGCTCCTCGAAGCTCACAGTTTTCCTCGAGATTTACTCTCGTAAAGTTGTTCGCATCTTGGAACAGACAATGTCCGCGGACAAATATCCGTACATATTTTTAGCGCCAAATAGAGGCTACTATTTGAATAACAATACAGTTGTTCAAAAAAGTTTATCTTCATACCATTATTTGAATATCAGTATATATCTTGTTCTTCTCCACATTATTTTTATTCCACTTCCAATTTTTAAGTCTCCAACAACCCAAGTGAAACAAGCTTTATATCAGTCTGCGTAAGCACTTTGTCTACGTCCTTAGTCAAAGTTCACAATAAGAACCGGCCACATGCACGTCCATCAACTATCATCTTTATTATCTAGTGAACGACGATAGCTGAATTAATATTCATTCCTTGGAGGAAGGTTGCAGACTTACGCGTTGTTCCTAACTTCCGAATTACGATATAATCAAATATTTGGTTACAGGGGAAGTTTGGCGAAAGGGGTCATGCACTATGAACAGCATTCGATGATTGCACAAACAACCATTGTTTTCAGATAAGTCATAACAACTGCATGTTTCCTTTTGCAGAGTCCTGTCAAAACAACGTTTATTAACACTAGGTTTCTATGATTATGTTATGCCGCGTTCAGTATTTTCTATTTTCCGTAAAGAAGCCTGGCGTGAGAATGTTGTATTGTTTAGTAAGGGCTGGAGTGAACTTGATCCAAGCAAATTCTCGCTTTGTCAGATCTTGACGCGTCTTAACACAAAAAAGCAATGCAAACCTAAATTACTTTACTTATGACAGGAGCCCATTACTTAATGGCTTATGATTCGTGATGATTATGATTATGATTAGTCCATCAAGTTTAAGTACTCACTGCATCGAGCAAGAGTTTATTTCGCTTAGATCGGAAATCGTACCCCTAAGCCCCCACCCTCACTCCTCACTCGTACCCCTAAGCCCCCACCCTCACTCCTCACTCTTCACCCCTCACCCCCTACCCCTCACCTCCGGACTAGACATGCCGCGAGTGGCGACTTTTTCATATTTTTGTGTTACTGTCTGCGGGCTATCCAGCGAGATTGTGTGCCTTCATGGTTGTCTAAAGGTATTGTTTCAGCATATCACTTGGGAGCTGGCACCCGATATCTTTCGCCCTGACGAAGGCGGGGCTAACACTCGAAATGTCAGATTTTGAACTCTTTACACTCAGGCGGCTCGAAGAATTCACTTCGGAAAATGTTTTTGTTAATAACTCCAGTGCGTTTCAATATTTCACAAAAATGTTTGGAAAAATTTCTGCACAGCCCCATACTTCATTATGCATGCACATCTTATTAATTATGCATTCTACCCTTTGTCTTTGAATACAATAGACAATTCCCTTGGTAATTGAATATATACATCCCTAATTATTACTTATCGCACTAATAAAAGAGGATTTTTTTCACAGCGTTCCTTTCCGCGCTGTTTTTCCCTCTCTCTCTCTCTCTCTCTCTCTCTACATTTTCACCTCTTTCTCTTTCCCATTTCTCTGGCAGGCATCCTTCCTTCAAGGCCCCTCTCAGTCTATTGTTTCTTTTTTTTTACGTTACCTGCAGGGTTCGAACTCTCAATTCACTATCGTCTTCGTCAGACTAGCAGTCTACCCTCTATACCATTGTTCTACATCTGCTTCTTGCCGATAAAGGGTAACTTTCAAAATTATATTTCTAATACCATATTCAAATTCCAAAAATTAACACTGAAATCATTTTCCTCACCTTTAAAACATGTTGGATTTTGCACGAAGAAATGAGACGTGTCACCGCGGTCGCTACGTCGAAGGAAAGTGGGTCTTTGATGGCATTTGCCGTGAAACCAAGGCCTGCATCCTTGTACCGGTAGAGCGCAGGGATAAAGATACGCTCATACCCGTTATACGCGCTCAAATATTGCCGGGAATATGCGTGATGAGCGACATGTGTCAAGCTTATGATTGCCTACAGGACGAGGTCATCAATCATCTCACAGTGAACCACAGCCTAAACTTCGTAGACCCAGACACAGGCGCTCATACTCAGCGCATTGAAAATACACGATGGGGAATCAAACGAAGTATACCTCGTACAGGAATATCCAAAGATCTCTTCAGTAGCTACATACAGGAGTGGTTGTGGCGTAAGCAATATGGAGAAGATCCTCTTGGAAATATAATCGAGCATATCGCCGAAGTATGTGATGTTCGAAATACATCATAAAAACTAAGCTCCTCGTGCCTCTGTATGTGCTGGTGCCTGTCTACACAACCACCGCGGATGAAAATAAACATTCAATGAAGAGAGAAAAATAAGCAACTCTACTGTTAAAGAGAAAAGGAAAAACGACAACGACAACGAACAACTTTAAAGGTGAGCATCGATTTTATTTTCATCGTTTTACGAATGTTTGCTTTCAAAAACAACAATTTTGAGGCTAATATGAGGCGGAATTTAAGCTGTTTTGATTTATAGATTTCATAAAGCATAGTAATTTTTTATTTGACTGTTACATATTATAAATCAGCGCTTGATTAAGCGCAATTTTTAATTAAAAAACGGCGATTTTTTAAAGGTTTGAGTAAAGACTTAAAAAAAAAATTCAACTTCTTGAAAACAAAGCGAATAGTCCCAAAGGTAATCTATTGTTTGTGCTATCGTTTTCTTCTAACAAAGGACTGTATGCATAATGAAGTATGGGGCTGTGCGGAAACTTCGCCCAGCCCCATACTATTGTAAAACAAATCTGTTTTCCCAATGGAAATCTATTGTTTTTGTCATTGTTTTCTCTATCCAAGAACTGAATGCATAATGTAGTATGGGGCTGTGCGGAAATTTTACCAAACATATCGACAAAATTTGGCCCGCGAAGGTCTACAGTATCCTTAATTACTCTGTAACGCTAGAAACGTCAGCTTTAGGACTGAACACTTTATGGTGGCACTTGCAACTCATTCACATGTATGATTTTCATATGTTCATAGTCACTAGCAACTCAGTTGACAAAACCAAATTCCCAAGTGCCAATTAAAAATGTCATCCTTGGAAGGGTGACACCTGTGGTTTTGTGACAAGTTTTTCTTTTGTGCCTCCTATTCTAGTTCTAGATAGTGATGATCAAACGTCCTGGGAATTTTCTTGTTGTTTAATCTTCCTGAACCTAATATGTCACAAAAGAAAACCTCTTTTATTTTGTTCTGGAAAAAACTGTCAAAAGACACAAAGTACGCGATCTACTATATAACCATAAACAATTGGAGGTCTTTTCACGAGTGAGGTTTGACGATACCTGGTTTTCACTTGGCGTTCCATTGTTGTTAAAAGAATAAAAAAGATAATTAACATGTAATGAAGAGTTAGCCATTCAAAATTCCATGGATTATGCTTTTTTAGCATATAATATACGCCGACCCAGAGGATAAATAAATCAAAAGTGTTCTTTACGTAGTAGACTTATCGCTTAACTAAACTTAGTGTTGTACCGTTAACCGTGAAATGAAAAAACACAGAAACACTGACATTTTGATTGGACCAGCTGAAAAAAGGAGCAAGATGACTCAAATTCAGGTAAGCAATGAAGCCATTTTAGCGAGTTATCCATTTCCAGGAAACCTAGAAATGGATACCTCGTTATAAAATGGTCTCGTCTCAACAAAGTGAGTGGTCAGACAACAAGCGATGCGCTGTGGAAGTAAGGTGAGGCATCTTTTATCGAGAATTTGACTATATTTTTACTTTCTTTAGAGCGGTCGTAATATATTCCTATACAAACTTTTATAATTTCGCCATGAAGCTTATTACGCAAGTTGATCATCTAACAAGTCCGTGATGGCAAAAGGTTGTTTCCACGCCCTAAAAAGCGATTTTGGTAAAATTTCCGCACAGCCCCATACTATTGTAAAACAAATCTGTTTTCCCAATGGCAATGTATTGTTTTTGTCATTGTTTTCTCTATTTAAGAACTGAATGCATAATGTAGTATGGGGCTGTACGGAAATTTTACCAGAGAAGCGTAAGTTTTTGGTTGAATAACCATGATATGTATTAAAACCCACCGATAAGTTTTCCCCATGCTTGTATGTGAAAGTTTTATTGTAAAATTGACATTGCGTAATGATTTCGAAATTTAGGAAAATTAGCTCGAAATCGCCAGGAAATAACTCCATTAAGCCAGTTTTGGTATATGTACTCTTACGAATTCGTACGTTCTGACCATATCTCAGAGGACCCGTAGATAGTCCTGGTTCGACTTCACAAAGAATATTATGGTTACACAATTTACGTTTCTTTATTGGTAGCCGTATTTCTTGCTGTTTTCATCCAAATTTGACCGGTTTTTTCCCAAAACAATTTTGCACTCGCATTACTATCCTTTTAAAAACGCGTCTGCGTGATTTTCGGTCGAGGATGCACGGCGGATTGTGTTAGAGGACAATCCTAGCGAGGTCTTAACAGCTTTAGCTTTTTGCAAAGAAACACACACACAATGCACAATTCTTGCATTCGCTCTGAAGAAGGGCCACCGCTCGAAACGTCGAATTAAAAACTCTTCCCAGTGACTAATTTACATTATGTACCCGTTCGATATAACCAAATGATCTTGTTATATTATACAGGCTGTGTATCGTCCGTGTCTGTTCCTCGATATCAAAGTGTTACGTGGTCGGAATGTTACCTTGGGCACTTACACTGACTGGGGTGAGTATGTGTACAAAGAAGTTTCTACTCGTAGAACAGCAAAGAGTACGATTGACTCATGTGGGCCATGGGGATTCTATGTGCAAATTTTGTGGCGTTAGCTCGGCCTCAGGAGTCTAGGGATAGCATTCATCTTATTAAAGATGGCGGATCGATTGTGTTCTTGGAATCACAGAATCATGTCATGGTGTCGTCATTACTGAATTTTGCTACAGAAATATATTCGGAGTGAATTTAGCCTTATTTAGATTGCAAGCGTCTCATCGAGACTCGAGCCTCGAGCCACCATGTTTGACCGCGCCAAACTTTCCTCACCTTTAAAGGAAAAGCATTGACAAGTATTCATAAAATTCCAAATAGTAACCTAGGCCTTTTGAAAACTGTCTTTAAATGTGCTAAAAAAAAAACTGAGTCAATGGACGCCAACGCAGTGGTCAAACACTGCGCATGCGCAAGAATTTGAAAAACAATGAGAGCGATTTCTTAACGCGTGTCTTGCGTTAAGTGCGAAAGAAAAGGTTAAATTCCTAACTGTTCTAAGGCGTAAGACAAATTCAAGAAGGATTTTGGAGAAAGATTAAATCTTGGCGCTATTTATTTTGAGATATTCCAACTGTTTTTAAGGCAATGAAGGCAAAGAACAGGACCTTTCTTCAACACTTACTGCACAGATTACTGTCCGCTGTAAAGGTAGACCTGATATCGTTATAAATATCTTGTGTCGCCCTGGTTCCTCCTTTTTTCACACCGGTTTCCCTCGGTGTTGATCGGCAACTCCACTATAAACGCAACTAAGAATAATTACAGCCAGCACGGCCAAGTTTACGCTTGTTTACGCTAAGTTTATGCATCACGCCGCCGTGCAAAATTTAAAAAAAAGGGGGAGAGTGTAAACTAACACAAAGTGGATAAAGTCTAAAACAAACAATGTTTATAAGTCGCGGCCTTAGAAACTTCGAACTTTCCTTAGCAACTGCGAAGAACTACGTCTCACTTAGATTCACCATGTTTATAATAACAAATTATCCATATAAGTGTGTATGTGCAATCATTTGACTTAACGATGCCTTCATTTTAGGAAACAGAAAAAAAAACTGGGGACAACCACGAGCATATATTCAAAAACTGCTGTTTACCTGGTTATCGAAAAAAGAAACTATTTTGGTCAGGAATATCTCTTTTATAGCTCCTACCTGTTCATACAAATCTCGAAGAGATTGGAGGAAGAGGTTTGATGCTAAGTTGCGTCACACGTAATCGACCAAAGTGCTGAGCAAAATTCAAAATGGCGGTCAAATTTTAGCGCATTTGAAGACAATTTTCGAAAATGTAGTTTACTGTTTGGAATCTCAAAACACAGTCACTTTCACAATTTCAAAAACAGTGGGTCTCTGGATTATACTTTCTTTTTAAAATTCAAGATGGCAGCTTCGTAATTCGCGAAGAAGTATCCGGCGAAAGCTTGCCGACTAAACTGTTGTTCTTTCTAATTAACTAATGACTGCAACTATCTTTAATTCAATGCCATACAATTTTTCATTTTCGAACTGCCTGACTAATCGTCTGTCTTCATCAGTTGTCGTCGGCTCAGTCTGGCAGACATAATTTGATTGGCTGAGCCAAGCTATGAGTCGCTTAGGAAAATCAAAGAGAGGGTGAACATTTTGGCTTTGACTCCTTAACTCCTCTTTTTATATTAAACCAAAAGGTCCTTTTTATTTCTCAGTTGATACACCGGATCCATACGTAAAACTGTACATTAAAACAGCATCAAATGGCAGGAAGAGAACCAAAGTGAAAAACAACACAGCTAACCCTGTGTGGGAAGAAACATTTCAGTTTTACCTTGATCCAAATGTGAAAAACATTTTGGGTAAGTAACCTTTAATGATATTTGCAACGTAACACTGAGACGAAGAGTCTCCTCGGTTAGCAAAGTATCCCACGTAAGCGTGGCTGTTGTTTTATTTGAAGTTTGAAGCATTGTTGTAAATTCCTATTCCGCGAAAATCACAACAGCCGGTCAATAACAAACACGTCTCGACCCACGCTGATAATGACTCTACATCTGCCTCTCTCTCTCTCTTTTTGATCATAAACCACGATAAAAAAGAAACCAGTAATTTATTTCGATTATGAATGCCTTCTCCCATCCCTAGCCTATAGCCTAGCCGTAAACAGAAACGAGAACAAATCACGCTCTTTCATAACGCTACAGGAAGGGTTCCTATCAGAAATAGAAAACTATTGGTCAGTTCCTGTAAATGCTATTGATATTGTTACTTGTGAACGTCTACTTTTCTTATCTTTAGAAATAACTCTAATGGAGTCAGACACAGTTGGTGACGATTTGGTGGATACAAAGTCATTCGACTTAAGTGCATTGAAAATTGATGAAACTTACAAGAAAACCTTTGTCTTTAAAGAGGTATGGTACAACTCAGCTCAACCAGGAAGCCTCAGTGGTCACGTTACTCGTGTGACACACCTCGGCCTGATGGATAGGCGAGTCAGTGCAATAATTAAACACGTTTATTGACTCAACTATTTGCTTTATTCTAGACCTCAGAAGTTGATGTGGAGATGAAAGTCAAAACATGGTAAACCCAGTTTTATATTTTTGTCATCGTCAAGTTCTCTGTCTTTCCTCGAAAAAGGGTTACTTTTTGAGGAACAGCGAAGACAAGTCGCTTTGGTCAGGCCTCAGTTGTTCGAAGGTTAGCGCTATCCACTGGATAAAACTCTATCCGGTGGTTAACACTGTATGTTTTGCTATCACCTAACTGCCAGATAGCGATTTATCCGTTGGATAGCGTTATCCACCCTTTATACAACTGGGCCCAG